ATGATATTTGCGGCTATTTCTTGTTTCTATATTAGAACGTTAAATATTTACGTCAAATTATCTCGCATCGATATGCAGCCCGCAGTATCTCGGTAGCCAGGGGTAATTAGGAAATAAATGTTTTCTTCAGACCTTCGCCTTCTGCGTTATGGTAGTAGCAGGGTATACATTATTTATTACCGTTTAGAGTTGATTATCCTGGATGCCACAACTAACCACTCAAACAATCTCTTTCTTTCTTTCGTCCCAGTGGTGAGTTTACAAATATTTATAAAAATAGAATCATTGTAATCGGTTTATAATTGAGAAAGATATCGCGTAACATATATACATACATACAAAAAAGCTTGCAGCTGAATAGACAACATTTTAAATCTTTTTTATAGAATTAGGGTGACAAACCAGCACGTAGTCCACGTGATGGTAAGTGGGTGCTGTGGCCTAAAGACAAACGCATTTGCATTTTGATTCTTATGCAAGGATAAATGTCAATTTCTATTTGCTACAGCATCCTTTTACCATCAGGTGGACTGTATTCTCGTTTGTCACCCTTATTTTATTAAAAGATGATACTAGTTAATTTAGTCAGCCTTTGATGATAAGATTTACCATATTAAGTATACAGTTACGGTAAAGTAGTACACGGAGATATTAATTATTATGCAACAATTATTAAGATGCGAGATAGGAATAAAAATTTATAGCTCCCATGTGAGTCCAATGTGATTATTGCTCTTTATCCTATTTAAAAGTTATTATAATTTGTCCAATGTTGAAAGGGCCAAAGGTTCATTCAAAACATCTCTACGTTTTGCAGTCCACAAAGATAGATTTTACGGTTATAAAAATGCTGTCTGTGTGTACATACGCTTACTTATTAGAGGAGTTTTACTATAGTGAATATCTTAAAAAAATATCGCCTCCAAATCAATTACTTTCGACGCTTTACTGCGTAATGAATACCTGAATATGTTTTCATAACAAAGTGTGCAATTGGCATTATATTGTTAACTTTATTTTTTTTTTATGTCGTTTTACACAGTTCACCTTCAGGATTTCATTAACAGTCTTAAAGTTAATGCCGTTTGGTCCGTGACTTTTCATGGACTGTTTTTTTTTTATAGGATAAGGGTGACAAACGAGCACACAGTCCACCTGATGGTAAGTGGTTGCTGCGGCCCATAGACATCTACATCTATCCTCTGTTACAAACCAAAATGTAGATGCGTTGCCACCCGTGAGCACCAAGATGGAATGCCTCATTTCCAGTAAAAAGGGCCTCCGGCCACCTGCACTCACCAAGCGAAACGCAGGGGTAAACCTCTACTTCACGCTGGTTTTCTGTGAGGTCGTGGTACTACCCCGGTTCGAGCCGGCCCATCCGTGCGACAGCAAAAGCTGCCGCGTGGCTCTACCACTGTTGTCAGAAAATTGCTTTAAGAGAATATTCGAACGGTTTTTAATTTATATAAATGTATTACTCTGTTTTATAACTGAAAATACACAAAAGAGCAAATATTTTTATGTTACAAAATATAGACATTAGATACAAGAAAATGTTTTGTGTCGAATAATATGAGTTGGGTCAGCAATGGCTTCGCGAAAAACAAATCTCACTCAGCGTTGGTTTTTAGCCAACAATTTTTGTTATTGGCATGACGTACGCGATAGTTTTGTAAATATTTTCTACTACCTTTTTGGATTTTATAATTTTACTAGCTGTTACCCGCGGCTTCGCCCGCATGGTCAATGGGAAATGAACTATCCATTGCTTTTTGAATCGAAGGAAAACTGAGTTTTATAGATTTGTCAGAGATGCAGCCATTAAAAGGAAACTGAGCAAAATTGATTCGTCAGCCTATTTAAATGTTTTGAAACGCAGCGTATAGGAAAGCATGAAAATAGCCTGTTTATTCCAACTGGAAATGGGATATTTTTTTAATTAAAGGAAACTGAGCATAATTATCCGTAAGGGATGCAGAATTTTGAAAAGAAACTAAGCTAAATTGATTCGTCAGCGATGCAGTTTTCTGAATTGAAAGGAAACTGAGCCAAATAAAAGATCCGTCAGAGATGCAGCCTTTTAAGTTGAAAGGAAACTGAGCTTAATAGGTCCATCAGAGGTGCAGCATTTGCAATTGAAAAGAAACTGAGCTAAATAGGAAATTTTGAATTGAAAGAGAAGATCTGTGGGGATTCTGATTAATTGATTGTGGGAATTTTGGAAAAAAACTAACTGAACACTATTTTAAGACGCTACTGTACACAATGTTATATGTTTTTCCATTCGGGGAAAGAATGTGGAGATTCTGGGCATTTGACACACGCGAACATGCTACATACAGCTGACGATTAGAGAAACACGGTGTTTCTAAGTTGACCCCCGCTACCTGTAACGTTTGCCCTTGCGCTTTATTAATTGTCATTGCAAAACTGAGCTTAATAGGGAACTGCAACCTTTTGAATTGAAAAGGAAGATCTGTGGAAATTATAGGGATCCGTGGTATAATAACATTTTCACCTTTTCTTACGCCTGTCAAAATTGTAGCACCGATTATGTTCCGTCCAAGATGTGTCACACGCAGCCTTGTCCCGTTACATAACCGAGGAGCATCTAAATTTCGCATTAGCATGACCGGGATGCCTAATTTTAATTGAAGCTTATGTGAAGCACACCTGACAACTCTAGAGAATTTAGAAACTCTACGGGATATGTAGTGCTCTGTTCTGTGTCCATAACTGTGTCTACTGACAAATACTCTGTTATTTCTCCTGCTACTTCGCTTAATATATCTGAATTTATTTTGTTAACGCTCTCATTTTTTGGTGCAAGAATCGCCCTTTCACATAACCATTTGTCTTCATGCATGTTGTTCGTTAAATCTGAATAAACGCTGGCAATTAATTCAGAATGACTCTGTACTAAATTATAAAAATCTCTCGTCAATTTAACGCAGTCCTCAGCATCCGTTTCCAACCGCCCATCGCCAATTTTTAATAGTGTGTCAGCAAAGTTTCCAGCATTGGTATCATTATACAAATGCACTCTCATATTCGTAGTTAAACTTAATTTTGTCACCTTGTTCCATAAAATAGACGACTTGAGGCATGCTTGGATTTCATCTGCAGGTGTGCCCTTTTGAATGACAGGTAAAGTTTGGCGAAAGTCACCAGTCAGTAAAACCACCATTCCTCCCATTACATCGGTATTGCTGCGCAAATCCTGGAGCGTTCGATTTAGTGCTTCTACAGCTTTTTTATGCAACATTGTACTTTCGTCCCACACTAAAAGTTTGCATTGTCGTAGCGTTATACCTCGTGCACTATTTTTGCTAAAGTTGCAGATCGGCGATTCTTCCTGGGCTAGATTTAGAGAGAGTTTTAAAACAGAATGTGCAGTGCGGCCCCCGCTTAGCATCGTGGCGGCTATACCGGAGGAAGCTACGGCCACAGCAATGTTTTCATCTTTTAGTACTTGCGCTAATAATAAATCTAACAAAAATGTCTTCCCAGTTCCTCCAGAGGCATCTAAAAAGAAAAGTGCACCATTTCCAAATTCAATTTGTCCTAATACTTAGTCAAAAACTCGTTTTTGTTCGGGAAGCAAGCGGGGTACAAATTCGGCTACGTGCTGCTGCAAACCTGGTATATGGTAGTTTGTTTCACGTATAATGTCATCACTTAGTTCATTTTCGGTTGTTCGCTGAGGGCTTATCATTCCAAAGTCGCTTAATTTTTTACCTACCAATGCCATTACTTTATCTTCAATTTTTCCAAGTGCTTCATTATAAATGTGTTCATTGTATGTCATGTTAGCGTGTGTCTGCTGTAACCTTCGCAAAATATCTTCCGCCATGTACTCTTTATATTTGTCCCACAATTCATGTGCATTAGATAGCACGCAAGATGATATGAGGGTTGCATAAAGATCCCTAATTTTGGCTGGTGACTGGCACTGCATAGCTTCCTCCATGGTTTCATCCCAGTGATTATCGTTTTCTAAAAGCTGCAGAGCTTCATATGCTTCTCTATAAGTTGCGCATTCCTGACCGTTGACAGTTTTAAGGTCTTTATATCCTGTAGGACCCCGAACATGGTGTAGCAGCAATCGTAAACAGAAACATTCAAAATTAGTTACATGGACGGTATACACACGACCAAGGGCATCTGATGACTTTACACCGGGCCAATTTGCAACAGGCGCGCCTTGAATACGGCGTTTTCACTCCTTCCTAGATGTGTTCCAAGTATAATAGCGGGAGACTTCAGAATATAACAACGTTTTTGCAAAGGGGTCGGTTTGACAAAGTTGAAAGAAGGCTGTTAGTGTAGTTTTTGGCGGTGATGCAATTCTTTCTTGGAAATTTCTTTGGTGAAATATAAATGGTCTCCATTTTCTAAGTGCACAGCAAGGTGAGTAACTGTTGGGTGCCTTTTGTGTAAAGGGAAGCAAAGGAGACGCCACGCTGCCTCGTTACTGCTGATATAACGCCCTGCTTGAAAGGTCTGTACTTCATTAACGGGATTTGCCTCACCTTCACTCCTGAGATTAAATATTTCTTGGTCGCTTCCTTTATTTATGTACTTACAGATATACTTGATTGCGCGGACAGAGCTACATACTTCTACATTAATGTAGGCATTAAACATTTTACATAAAATGGGCGAATACGGGACAATCCAGCTGTTATCTAAGGTTTCGAACGCTCCAGAGCGAGATTTGATTGTAACTTTCCTTCCACCATCTTCGGGAGCTCTGCGTCTGTATAAAGGGTAGCCATTGTCATTGTGCACTGTTTCTTTTAATAGCTGTTTAAGGAATTTCTTTGTACATTTTCCTTCTTTCATGTATGGCGATATTGAATTTCGTGCTCCACATGGACCGTGAATCATATTTCGGACGATAATATCATACAATACATTATCTTGCTCAGGATCCGGAATCTCGGCGCTTATTATGTCGTCTATTTGGCTGGGCCGCAACTTCTCTTTAAGCCATATTAGAATGTGTGGGCATGCGGTAATCCTCTTTTTTGCCATTCAATTGAATACATGAAGCACTGCAGCTCACCGAAAATTTCCCCTTTGTTAATTACATACATTAATTTTTGTACTTTTAATCTAAATACTCTAGCAACTAAATCGTGTCTGTCAGTACTTTTTTGGCCCGGCATTAGCTCCTCGGTTATTTCTTTCCATGTGGGATTGCAAGTAAAAGTAACAAAAAGATCAGGTCTTCCGTAAGTTCGTCCATAGGTGAATGCGTCTTGTGTGTACTCATGTAGGTAGTGGGGACTGTTAACGAATGATGAGGGCAGAATTACCATTTTACCTAAATCTCTGGGGTTTACATTGGCGTCGCTAGAAACTGCATCTTGTAAATGTGTATAATTCTCAACGCGTAGCTTTTTTTGATTTAAAGATATATAACGGAGACGTTCACTTTCTACCTTCTCATACATGTCTACCAAAAATTGATGAAATAATTGTCTACACCGGGCTAAGTGGTTAAAATCATTTTCTCGCAACATCATATGATAGGTACGCATAAAAATCCATACATGATACTTTTTGTTCGGAGTAGGCTCCTTTGTGACCGGGTTAATGAGTGGAATTTGAAAATGATAACCCTCTTGTCCTTTGCAATAAATCAATGGGTATTGCAGAGCGTCATAAAACTTGTGCGTATCGGCTACCCGTTGCAACGTATCATCACGTGTTCGCAAGACAATGTCTCGTGAAGAAAATTGATCACCACTAATTACGGCTGCTATTTCGTTTATCAAAGGTGCATTGTAGCGCCTTTCATGCTCTCCTCGAGGGGTCCGATCTGCGTGAATGACGACTTTGTAATCCTCTTCAGGTAGGTTTTCTAAAGCAGTTTTGAATGTTTTGACTAAAATGTTACGTTCATGCAAGAATCTTTGAATTTTGAACACTGTGTCTCTCTCAACTCCCTGGATAAATTGGCAGCGACGGTCAACCTTAATTTCTTCGTCACCCATAAAATATACTTGTAAAAATTTATGCTGTTCGTTTTCAGCTAGAAAAAGTGAACCTATTCTATGATAAATTTGCCCTTGCACCGTAAATGTAGGCGAAAATCCCGGCATTATTATTTCCCGGTCAACTCCGAAGGACGTCATTTGAAAGCATGAGTTATATTTCCGGATCCTGTTTATAAAGCGCCGTGACTCATTAGCATCATATAAAAAGGGAGTTTTCGAAGGTTCTTCTTGTTCCCCAAGTAACGGAAGAGACACTTTGCCATTGGAACAGCACATGCCTGCGGTCTCATCTTTTCATTTTAAAGCGCAGCAAAATCGACACGCCTTGTCCATCAGTCCGATAACAACTAACCTGTGATTTTTATAATCAATCAACGGATCAAAATTGAATGCTGCGTCATTAAAAACCGAGCAATTGTTTCTTTGAAAATTTTGTCGACGTTCAGCTTGGAGCTGTGCATTTGCATCTCTTCGCGCCTGTGTCTGTTCTGGTGTTTCAGATGCCCTTATAGTAGATTGATGTTCAGCTTACTCAATGAGTCTGTGTTGAGTTTCATCAGGTGTTTCCGCGGCTCTTAAGGCGGCCTGACGTTCCGCTTGTTCGAATAGCCTTTGCTGACTTAAAGCAGGTGTTTCAGTAGCTTTTAATGTAGATTGACGCTCTGCCTGTTCAAGACGCCTTTGCTGACTTTGATCAGGTGTTTCAGTAGCTCTTAAAGTAGCTTGACGCTCTGCCTGTTCAAAACGCCTTCGCTGACTTTGAGAAGGTGTTTCAGAAGCTCTTAAAGTAGCTTGACGCTCTGCCTGTTCAAGACGCCTTTGCTGACGTTGAGAAGGTGTCTCAGATGCTCTAAAAGCAGCCTGACGCTCTGCTTGTTCTTGCCTTCTCAGTTCAGCATCTTCTAAAGATTCTAGCGATCGAGCTAATCTTTTCGCTTGTCTTTGAGAAGATACTCTTTAAAAGCTGGACTTACGTTTGCGAGGCATTATGAAGTAACAAAAAACCTATTTATAAAAAACGTTAAAATACCTAAAAGGATTTAAATTTCCTTTTTAATATTTTTTAAAAGCAATATTTTTTTAAAAGCTAATCCAAAATATCTGAAAGGAATAAATATTCCTTTTAAATATTTTTTTAAATCAAAACAACAAAACCAATTCAAGACACAACACGAATCCGAAAACTATAGCCAAAAAAAATCGAATCAACTTAAACCAAATCACAAAACAAATCGCAGAAATCCGAAATCGAAAGCAGTAGTCAATATAAATATAACCAACGAAAAAAAAAGTAAGTGTATATACTATTAATATTCCTTTGAAATATTGTTAAACAACGAAATTACAACAACAATTCACGATTCTAAATAAACAAAATCCAAAATCAAAGACAGAGTCTAAATGTGTATCAAGGAAAGGAATACCAATCAAATCAACAAAACCAAACCACAAAGCAAATTACAAACAACCGAAATCGAAAGCCGGTAGTCGAATAAGCTACGAAATAGAAACAATTTAAGCGTATAGGTACCGTATGCACTATTAGTTGACGCGCGGCTCAACGGCGGGAATTAAATACATGTCAGGAAACATTTCGTTACCGCGTTTTAAAAACCTAGTAACGACATCTAGCGGAATCAATTTAAACCATGTATACGTTAGTTAAAAAGAACTCTCAAAAAATATTTTTCTTATAATTTTGCACAATTTTTCTTATTGTAATACCGATTAATTCATACCCACATATAAGAACTGTATTCATTTCCGTTCAATAAGTATTTCTGATCCATACTTATAATCACGCCTGTAACCCTTGCGGGGTAGGCAGAGCATCAACGGATTACTTAATATCGTCTGCGAGGTTATCGCCTATTCTGTGAATTACAATGCACCAAAACGTTTGAAGAAAATCAGCTGGTAAATTTTATGTTTTTTATCGCTCTCTTCCCGGTCCTGCGTGGAAAAGTACAGATCCATACATTTTTTGTCTTAATTTTGGTAAAAAGACATAATAATCCAGATATTCTGACCGTCGTCAGTCTTGTAGAATCAAGGTGGCGCCACTTAGTTGAATTTAATTTTGCAACATATTCTATTTTCCCACGGGAATGAGATGTTTTTCCGTGAAAAAAAAGTAATCTATGTCACTCTACAGCCACCGAACTATCCTCTTACAAAAAATCATGCCATGCCGACGCTCTGTTGCGACGTGAAAGAAGGACAAACAAACAAACAAACAGACAAACACACTTTCGCATTTATAATATTAGTATGGATATGGATTATATATCTCATTATTTTTATTTTTTTTTCATTTATGTTTTAAATTAAAATATGAAGAATTTTTTGATTTAAAATCAGGTTTCTGGGGAAAACATTGTAACATGATATAAATATAGAACTCTCTATGAGACATTGAAAGTTTTAAACTGTGTCTTTCGTCACCCGTAAGTATGTCGAACACAGCATTTGAGTCACCTCCGTTAAATATTTGAACCATTTCACGACACCAATAAACACGACGAAGTTTTTGGGCCTCTGTCAAATTATGAGGTATCGACCGGGCATAAAACTTCCTGACCGCTAATGTTCATGGAGGATTTTGTGCACTTGATCCATTCCAATGCCTAAGCTTGTCAAAATCTGGTTATAAGTCACTCTTTTGTGAGTCTCTATCATACACACAACACTAATATTATCTTCAGTCGTCATCGTAGAAGGCCGTCCATCACGTAGATCATCGGTGAGATTAGTACGACCACGTTTAAACTTATTAAACCAGTTGTAAACAGTGGCACGAGATGGGGCTTCATCATGAAAGGCCAATCATAGTCTATCATAACTTTCTTGTTGACTTAAATGACATCAAAAGTTATAAAAGAAGTACAAAAAATTTCTCACGTTAAATTCATGCGGACCTGACACAAAAAATTTTCAATTCGTCAAATTGTAAACAAATTACAAATTAATAAAATACATACTCAATAATATTAGCAAAGAGATCCATTTTCAAAATTTGAACTTATTTTTTTATTATATCGTTTACAAGTGGCCAGTTCTAAAACCTTTCAGAGTTGCCCTCGTATTACGGAAAAGAATGTTACGGAAAAGTGAAATACCTCACTCAGTAAGAAATCAAAAAACTAAGCAATATTCACAGAGAGATGATAAAAAATATTAATAGAATGCGGGAACATCGAAACGTTGCACTACGTGCATGACGTCAAAAGTGTTGCTGTATGTATGTAAATTTAATTCATACTATTTATTAATGCATATATAAGTATATATATGTATATATATATATGTCGGAGCGTCTATAAAATATCACTTGGATTGAGGTGGACATGAGGGTATATCGAGAAACTCCCACTTGTTTATGCAGTATAAAGTTCACTGTAGGTGCTCTGCACGGGAGAGGCCGCTTCAGTCATTCAACGAGTGTGGTCATTCTACTTAGTGCTAAGATAGTGTTGTGATTCTGTTCATTGTTGTAAATCTTCTAGTGCAGGCAAGGAGGATTGGTGTTGCTGAGAGGCTGCCCTGTGTTATATTGAGATAAGTAGTGTTGCTGTTGGTTTACATATTTTGGCGTTATCATGTAATTACGTACCTCACGTTACACTGGTGTGTGATTGTGGCGGAGATGTGTTACGGTGTGGTCGAACTGTAATTTCACTATACTGAATGTATAGTGCGTTACGTTGTCTTATTAGTGATAGTGATAAATTGCGTAAGCAAGAGAACAAGTTGAACATCCGCTCTCACACTTTTATTATTTTTAACAATTAACGCTATCCTGGTGTATTTCCGAGATCACAAGTGAAATACTCTGTTATAATTTCCGACATCAGAAGTGGGATCTCCTGTTGTCATTTCCGATATATATATAGTATGAAGTTGGCTGCATGTATACTGTAGCATTTGTCTGATGATAATGATGATGACGACCTTTAACTTGTAATGTGTAGGTAGGTAAGAGAATCAAATTAAATACATTACCAGAAATACTGTAATTTCATACCATTTCTACTGAGAACTTTATTCGATGTAACTCGAGAATTTATCCTTAAAAGGGAAACGGAATTGTAATAAGATCATACCATTTAACTTGAAGATTGTCATTACAAACAGTCACTTAAAACAATCCTTCATACCAATAGAAACATTAAACTTTAATGTTAGAATTAATTTAATAAGAACTGTAATATTTTAATAAAGCAGTTTTATTTCAACCATTGTCACGAGACTTTTATTTATACAATGGTCCCCACATCGCAAACTGCTAGGCTACGCCTGCTTTTTAATAACATTAATAATAGTCTCTATTTTCAGTGTTATATAATTTGTCTAAGACAAAATTGTTGATTTCCTTAAGTGCCACCGAATTTCCTTATCTTATATCCACCTAGTTTGCTTTAAATGTAAATTTTAAATTGTATTACCAGCCTTAAACATGTTAGACATGTCAACATCTTGCGGTGAATTTCGTTGCTGGTGTTACGTTAATGCAACGAGATTGTAGATAAGGCAATAATTTCGTTTTCAGTTTTTGTAAGATAAAAATGAAATTTAGAAGTAAAGTTTTTATACAGGTTTTTTCTTCTTCATGAAATAAGGGTGACAAACGAGCACACACTCTACCTGATGAAGATCAGAAGTTAAGAATCGTAATACAGATACGCTGTCACCGCTGAGATCGAAAGCCTCGTTTCAATTAAAACACTCACTTATCACTATACAAAATAATTTTCAATTAAATTATGAATCAGCCACCTATTTCCGTAATATTTTACTAAAACTCGATAGAACATCGAAAAATTAAGTATTTATTATACCCTCTGGAAGGTTTGGCTATATTTATCAGAATCATAATTATTTCCACTCTTGTAATAGAAGATAGGTTTGGCTATTAGATCTTGATTTGTACTCTAAATTAATTAAACACGAAAAGAAGTCGGCGACACCTTATTCCGATGTATTTAGTTCCTGATTCCGAGTATACAAAATGCAAAGGAAAAATTATGGTGCTCACTATCCTGCAACAAAAATGATTATGATTTAAAAAATATGAGTAATCATCCCCATGAATATATAGACCTTGCAAGTTAAAAATGTTAGAACATATTTAGAATCAA